TCCTACTCAGAAAGTGTTGCTCAGATGTAAGACTTCAAATCTTGGTCTGCAATACTGTAGTGCCCACATGTAGCTAAGGGAGAAAACCAGCTACTCTTCTAAAATGATGAATAAATTTGTTTTCTCCCCCTATCTAGAAGCACTTGAGAGGAAACTGACACTGATTCTAACCACTCCAACAGCTATCAAAATACCTGAAAGCAAATCTTGAATCCATCACTCTTGAGTCCAGCCTTGGAAGACGAAAGAAAAATGAGGAGGAACCCAATAGAGGGATGCTTTTGGAAGCTCTCATCAAGAAATCCCAATGGACTCTGATATGAACATTTGAAATTTGCCCTGTTCTGACATTTTTCTGGTTCTCTGTCTAGAACTTGTAATGCTAACTACTCTCAACTTTACTTCTTCACATCCCCTATTCACCAGTCAAGGACTTTTTCTCCCTACAGATAAGAGTTATATAATTTGGGTGTCTTTTATATAGATCACCCTGTGTCCCTGTTCAGCATGGAAGAAGCCAGAGCGGTCTGTGTCCCTAGTCCCTATTGGCAATTTGGGTAACCCCTTCAGAGGATGGCGTGATAAGACTAGGAGGTAGGAATTGGCTAGGCAGTTAAGGTAAAAAGACCCCAAAGAAAAGTAGCCAGTTTCTTGGCTAAAAGTCAAAATGTCCTTGGGCCTCTAAGCACCATACTCTGTTCCAAAGGCCAAAAATGACAAAAGTATTTGGGAGCACTTATCTAATCCCTAAAAGATTTTAGGGTAACCTCTTCAGAGGGGTAATGTTAGAGTAGCAAAAAGCCCCATTTAGAAAGAAAGAGTATACGAAGTTGTCAGAAAAAAGTGATGGGGAGATATGGGAGGTGTTGGAAGGGAGAGAGGGCATGGATTTGATCAAAACACATTATATGCATGTATGAAATTCTCAATAAAGTTTTTTTAAGTTAAAAAAAAAGATGTGACTCTGTTCTAGGTTCACACTGAGGCACTTATCATGGGCCTTTTTCATGTCATCTAGAAATGAAAAATAAGATGATTTCCAAAATCATTCCATGAGTTTTTTATATTTTTGCAAGATGTCTGATAGACCCCCTCCATTTCAAATGAGAATGAAACAAAAATAGTTTTAAGAATGTGCTACATGGTGCTGGAGAGATGGCTCAGCAGTTAAGAGCACTGGCTGCTTTTGCACAGGACCTGGGTTTGGTTCCCAGCACCCAAATGGCAGCCTAGAACCATCCTTAACTCCAGTTTCAGGATCCGATGCCCTCTTCTAGCCTCTGCATCCATTGCATGCATGTGGTGCACTTACACACATGCCAGCAAAACACTCAAACACATAAAAATGAATACAAAAAAAAACATTTTAGGGACTGTGCTACTATGAATGTATGCCAATACTTTAATACTTGCTTTGTTTGAATAATTACCTGAAAAACCTTGTTACTTCATTTTTTGTTATTGTTATTGTCCTGTTTTATTTTGTTTGGAGAGTGTCTTTCAACGTACTATAGGTTGGCCTGGAACAGGTGGTCCTCCTGCCTCAGCCTTCTGAATTCTGGGATTATATTCATGCACCTCCAGATAATGACAGTACTCTTATCTGGTCCATCCTAGGATATACATTTTCCTCATACCTTTAACATTTTTGAAACAGGATATCTTACAAGAAATAATCATTTGTGTTTAAACAACACATTATATGTTTTCCATAAAAATATAAATTATATTTTATAATCAGTGTCTTAATTACTAAAATGTAGTAATTAATTTTATTACAGAGATTATATGATTTTTTTAAAACAAATTTTAAGACAAAAGTTATGGGATATCACCATGTTGTTCAGGCTGTTTTCAAATACCTGGGTTCAAGTTTCTTCAGTATCTGGAGTAAGACTACAGGCAGGTACCATTACCCCAGACTGAAAGTTCTATCTGTATATGCTAATTTTGTTTAAAATTATATTCAATTGGAGAAAGAATATATGGGATTTGGAGAAAGAATGGATCAATACTCAAAGCTGTTATGAGACCTTAGTCTAGAGCTGTAGGCTGCATCTGCTTGATCCTGAGTTTGGGTTCCAGTCACATAAGAACTATAAGAGCAGGCTAGTTTTAGTCTTTCTCAGGGGTTGGAATACTTGTGCAGCCTGCTGGGCCTCTTGAATTTGAAATACCTAGGACTCCAATATTCAGGTGCAAAGGTTGTTTGGAACATAGGGGCCAGGGATGAGGAAAGCTATTTCCTATGAGTATGGCAAAGCTGTTGCATCATCCCTGGATAAATGACTAAAATTGGTGTGAGACTGTGTTACTTCTAACATTTTGGCTGAATGACATAGACTTTCTACCTTATTACAGTATGTTTGCTTTCTCTTACTCATTTATACATACATCATACATATATATTTGCTTTTGAAAACTGGTTTGTCTTTAAGTTGAAACTACTTTTCTTGACCACTGCCCACTTACCTCTACGTACCTATTTATCTTAATGACCTAACAGCTTTGCTTTGCACAGTGCTGGTGGACAACTGGATGTTAAAGGCTGTTGCTATTTTTTTATTTTTTATTTTTTTTTTGGTCATTTTGACACAGGGTCTCTCTGTAGCCCTACTTGGCCTGGAACTCACTCTGTGTAGACCAGGCTGGCCTTGAACTCACAGAGATCTGCTTGCCTCTGCCTCCCGAGTGCTGAGATTAAAGGCATGCGCCACCCAGCACAGCGGCTATTGCTATTTTTGATGCTGTACTTTTTCCTTCAGGCAGTTTTGGAAATGACCTCTGCCTTATTTTACTGAATTTCCTGAAGCCTTGGGGCCTTAGACAACTGCTGTGAAGCTTGCTAAACAGGGAAACCACCTTTACCCTCTACCTTCTACTTTTAGAGGGCAGGAGATGGAGCCCAGGGAGAGATGCATGGTGATAAGTATATGACATGCATTTCAAAATCCACATTGGAAAATCCACTCAGATTCCTTCCACAAACTAAAACGTGAATGTCTTTTGTGTACTGTTTGCAACAAGCCTCCAGATGAAGTTGCTGGCCGATGAACCCCACTTTGTTAGGTAAGGAAGGTATCACTTTGGGGGAGTCCCTGTATATGTTCATTCCCTTGCTCCCATAGGCACATGCACACAGCACTCACCATGCACAAAACCAAACACCCTGTATAAACATGCTCCAGAACTGTAGATCTGTGATGTTTAGAAATCTCCACTTACAGGCTGGAGAGATGACTCAGCAGTTAAGAACACTGATTGTTCTTGCAGAAGACCCAGCTTCCAATCCCGGCACCCACATGGCAGTTAACAACTGTTCATAACTCCAGTTCCAGGGGATCCGACAGTCTCTTCTGTTCTCCACGGGTATTGCAAAACACGGGTGCACTTACCTACATGGCAGGCAATACACGCATACACATAAAATAATAAAATGATTTAAAAAAAAAAGAATTCTCCACTTACTCCATTGACTTCTGGTCATTGCTTTCATGTTTGTGGCATGCCACA